CAATGGGCCTATTGGCCTAATTTCTGCTCCTATGTCTTATGGTCTTCTGGTTTTATCTGGCAGAAGGCCATGAAGCATCCCCTGTAGGTACTTGTGTTCAACATGGAGGTCCTTTGGAGCAAGTGGCATGCTCACGTTTCCAGCTAGCCTCTCAGATTTCCACCTCGCAATTACTTGATACCTCACTTGTTTGGTGCATTTGTTAAAATGGAAAAACTGATTATTAATGAGGCATCAATAAAGCATTGAACAAGCAATAGTCCCCTTAATGGTCAACTCACCACTGCCTAATGACAAACTCACCTCAATTCTTGGCAAAATCTTTAAAGGTGCAGCAAGATGTTCCCAACATTGACCAAAATATGACTCATTGGCCTTTTTGTCTGATTTTGCTGCAAATCTCAACATAGCGCCTTCACCCAGAGCCCTGTAAGATACTGCCCACTCTCCTTATGTTTTAAATGATTCTGTTTGTCCTTTGGAGTGCTGTTCAAGGGATGAGATGTGGCATTAAAGATATCAAAGGAGATCAACTATTGTGGGAAAATGGTTTTGAGGTAAGATATTAGCCATGATCTGGGTGATGCAGGCTTGAGGGGCTGAATGGCCTACTCCTTCTTATTTCCCACATTTTTATGAAGCCTCCAGTAATACAACTGAACAAAGATAAAAGAAAAATCCCTCGGAATTTATTCCAAGCTACCTAGAGTTCAAGGAATCAACTATAGGCTCACAGTTCCAGTTATTTTAAAGATAAAAGTCTCACAAAGGCCAGCTAGCAGAGCTCCACTGTTTATTCATATTTAATTGATGAAGATAGAATTGGATTATATTTCAGGCGATTTCATCGCATGACATCCCTTCTTGGTTGAATCCACTCAATCAGCTGTTTTCTCCCCATCCTTAATATTTTTCTTATTGACAGATAAAAGTCTTTCAGGAAATGAAGCTCAAGTTTTTTTTTTCTGCTGGGTTTCTTGCAAAAGTGCGCAAAAGATTAAGCTTCTATTTCTAAAGACCCGAGGAGAGATCGGAAGGTTTGAGAATCCTACACCTTCCTCTGAGAGCTGCCAGGATGCCACTGAGACACACTGGAAACAGATTAAAATAAAGTTCACTACTGCGAGTGATCTATGACCCTTGATATCTCCGTGCATGCACTTGCTCCCTGAGGAACAGAAATCAGGGCATTGCTGGTATTAGCAGACATTGAGCGAAAACGTAAACTAAACCTCCAGGCTTTAATCTGCCTCTATTAGTCATGCTTCTGTCTGTGCCTGTTGCATGAAGTGCTGACTGATGAGCTCCCCAGGAAAATCAGTAACATTTAGAAAGAAGTGGCAAACTCTAGCTGACTATTTTCAGAAGTGGGCTCTTAGCACAATTCTGACTTCATTTCTTTATTGGCAAATATTGCAGTATTTTATCAAGCACACAAAAGAGCTAGTCACTTACTGAGGATTGAAAAAGTGTACTGGAGCAGCTTTGAAGACTGAGTGATGAATCCTTTTATCTGTACTGCAGCCTGTGCTTTGCATTGTGCATTCTGAGCTATGGCATTCGTGGCAATCTTATCTGCTGCCTGCACCCAGCACAGGATTCTTATATTTATAAAGGAAACAAGAGAATGTTATTAGCACAAAAGAATACATTTTATAATCGATGATGCAGAGAGAACAAGATTAGCTATGTATAACCCTGCAGAAATGACAGGCAGGGATGGGTAAACTGCTCTGTTATCAGGACCCAATGCTTGATGGTGATGAGGCTGATCCAGTAATCCAGTAATATTTCAGCGATATGGGTTCATAATCCAACCACAGCGGCTGGCAGAATTTAAGCGCAGTTCATACAGGTATTCTCAGTAATGTTAAGTATTACCAATTGCCATAAAATCTCATCTGCTTCATTAATGATCCTGTCGTGAAGGAAATCTTATCCTTATCTGTTCTGCTGTACACGTGACTCTTAACAGCTCTGCAATGGCCTAATAATATTCAGCTCCACTATTCTACCTCACATTTTCCCACATTATATTCCACATGTCAAGTTTTTGCCCACTCACTTAAACTGTCTGTATTACTTTGCAGACTGTTGGTATCATCCTTGCTGGTTGCCTTCCCTTCTTGAATCGGTGCAGCCATAATGCTGTTGCGAAGGTATTGCCAAAATTTTGACCCAGTGCCAGTGATAGTGAGTGACTTGGAGGGGAGCCTGCAGGAGTGGGTGTTCCCATGTATCTATTGCTGTTGTCTTTCTGGATGGTAGAGTTTGGGGGCTTGTAAGATGCTATCAGTGGGGCGTTGGTGAGATGCTGTGGCACTGGCAGTTTAAGGAAGGCGTCTTATGGGACCATTAGAAGCATTAATGTTCTTCTCATGCGATGAGACCATTTTAAACAACTTTTACTAAGCAATTTTTGGTTGATGTACAGAAAGTGGCTCATTTTAGGATAAAGTTTTCTGCAGAATGTGGAACTTCCTGTTGCTTAATTCCTTGACCATCTTAAAATCTGTTATTCTCAGTTGTAACACTTTTTTATTGTCGCAGAATCTTTGAAGAAAGAGAATTCCAGATTTCAGGAGCCTTTTGTGTAGAAAATGTGCTTCCTGGCTTTGCTGCTGAATGACATAGCTCTTATGTTAATCATATGTGGATATCATAGAATCAATTAATGCTTTCCGAACAGAAGGAGGCCATTCAGCCCAGCATGTATGTGAATTCAGCCAGTGCCATTTCAGAGTAGCCTTACAAACCTGATAATGATTCAATATCGTTTTGAAAGCCATGACTGAATCTACCTCCACCACACCCTCAAATAGTGCGTTCCAGATCCTAAGCACTCACTTTATCCTAAAGCATTTCTTCAGGTTGCCATTGGTTCTGTTGTAAATGACCTTAAATCTCTTCCCACTGATTTTCAATTCTTCTGTTATATAAGGTAACAATTCAGTTAGTGCTCATGTTATATTGGCTACATCCATTCTGCTGACTACGTCCGATGTACGCTAAGCCTGTGGTTAGAGACAAGGAATCTAGCAGCTGATGTATCTGTACCAGCTCTCCAAAACCTTGGGTAATTATACCTGACCAAACATAGCTGCACTTATTAGCATGCAATAAAGCCTTTTGTTATCCCAGAACAGTGCATTTTCTGTAGATAGTCTGTGGTGGTGTATCCTTGATCACTATTCATTTAATGGATCCAAGATAAAGCTGGTACAATTACAGCATTTAAAAGGCATCTGGATGGGTATATAATTAGGGAGGGTTTAGAGGGATATGGGCCAAATGCTGGCAAATCGGGCTAGATTTATTGAGGATATCTGGTCGGCATGGATGAGTTGGACCGAAGGGTCTGTTTCCGTGCTGTACGTCTCTATGACTCTATGGCAGAGAGTAAGGATGATTGGTGCAGCGAGCTTTCTCAAACAACTCTTACCCTGTACCACCTACTGGTACAGGAAGCAATTACCACAAAGTGCGAGCAGTGGTCATCTGGGAAAATACCACACAGTTGTAATGGTGCAGATAGTGACCACACCAAGAGATAAAGGAATCTGGAATAACAAGAAGAAAATGTTCTAAAAATGAAAGAAATCAGTTTACCACTTTAAGAGCAAACTGCTTACAGAAGAGATAGTCAGTGAGCAGCTGAAATGCGATCACTGACCAGGAGACACAGTAGCAGCTATGGAAGTGCAGTTGATTGGAAACTGCTGGATCTTGTTGACTACGAGATCCTTGATTGGGGTTTGTTAACCTGGGCCAATCAGGAAACCCTGGCTGACCAATATAACCAGGAGAGTTGCCATGGCTAAGTCTGTGCCCGGATGTCTCTGGACAAGGAGCACAGGGTGTGCATTGGTGCTCTCGATGCCTTTCGGGGGAAGTGGGCACCACGGGGTGTAGAGTGCTTTGTTTCCCCCACAAACTCTATTTTGATTTGATCCCTACCCTCCCCCTTACTTTTTCTTTCACACAGGCATTGCCCCTACAGGTCACATGGGTGTTTCTCCTGATGGTGGTATGTTAATAAAGTTATTTGCACAAAAAAAATGCAGAGTGTATGTTTGTTTTTAAATCGCAATGCGAAGTTGATTGTGCTAGTTAAAATGTAACTCTTCCCTGGTGCTTATTGTTCTCTTACATATTTTCATGTGCTGTTTCTCTTAGCAATAAAAAGACACGTTTTTATTAAAAAAAAAATGAGTAACCAGCTGGTGGCCTTCATATGGTACTGGCTGCTCCCTTTGCTCTCTCTTCACTGACATCCAGAGAACGTTGGTTCACTTCACAAAAAGACACACTGGGTCGCGGCACAGGTTCTGAATCTCCCTACTGAGGAGGGTGGTCAGTTGCTTGTATACATTCGCAACCAGGTGGCAATTTTTCGCCTTTAGACATTGCAGCGATAATCTTTACATTGAGCCTCCTCCTCGGTGATGCCTATTTTTTCCGCCAGATGCATAATCTTAACTAAGACACACAGCTCCCTGTTTATCGACCGTGAGGGTTTGGATTTCGCCCTCAGGACGCTGCCTGTCTTTTACCAGGAACCTGATCATTGCCTGGGACATGGTCAACTCGCATCGCCCCTACCATCCGGCAGGAGAAGCGGCTATCGTCAGGGAGTCACTGCTCTGGAATCCGCACCTCCGTAGTCGTAGGTTCGAGTGGCTGTCGGAGCGAAGGGCGGTGGCTGCGGGGGTGACCAGAGTCGGGGACATGCTGGGTGTCAGGGGGACCTGGGCTGGATGCTGCTGCAGGAATTGGCACGCAGGGCCGCAGCAGGCGCCCGGTTCGTGGGCACTGCCATCCACCGCCTCAAACGGCAGTTCTCGGACCCGACACTGTGCTCCAGTTGGAGGGTGCTCAGGTGTGCGGTGGGATCCCGCCTGCGCGTACCCCTGCTCGGACGGAATTTCACATCGGCCCCAGGATTCCGTACCTCCCCCGGGAGCCTGTGCCCCACAACCTCCGGAATGTCAGTTTTGTACCTTTTTAAAGTTGTAAAACAGCACACTATCCGCCTCTTCTCCTTCACCCATCACCCAGACACGCCTTGGCATGACCATTTACCACCAGGATCCCCAGTGGGGGGCTCTCTATGTGGGAGTCCTCTCTCTTTGCCTCAGGGATCTGGGGTGGAGGGTGTTGCACGCAGCAGTCCCATGTAACTGCAGATTGTGGTGGTTCATGGGCTCCCAGCCCACTGTCTGTTTTGCGGAGGTGTGGAGTCCATGGACCATGCATATATTGGGTGCGGGCATTTGCACTCCCTTTTTAGTTATCTGCAGGATCTTCTTTGATTTTCATTGCACTTCAGCCCCATGCTCCTGATCTTTGGACACCCAGTGCAGAGGGGCACGGGCAGGTTGGAGGATCTCCTCATGGGTCTGCACCAGCCGCTGGAGGTAAACATGCAGGTACAGCAGGCGATAAAGAAGGCAAATGGTATGTTGGCCTTCATTGTGGGATGTTTGGAGTACAGGAGCAGGGATGTGTTGTTGCAGTTATACCGGGCCTTGGTGAGACCACACCTGGAAATATTATGTGCAATTTCGGTCTCCTTTTCTGAGGAAAAATGCTCTTGCACCCGAGGGAGTGCAGTGAAGGTTTACCAGGCTGCTTCCGGGGATGGCGGGTCTGAAATATGAGGAGAGATTGACTGAGTTAGGATTGTTTTCACTGGAGTTCAGACAAATGAGGGGGGGATCTCATAGAGACTTATAAAATTCTAACAGGACTGGAAAGGGTAGATGCAGGGAGGATGTTCCCGATGGTGGATGTGTGCAGAACCAGGAGTCACAGTATGAGGATTCGGGGTAGATGACATTGAATGTATTCAAGAGTCGACTAGATATAGCACATGGGGTGAATGGGATCAAAGGTTATGGGGAGAAAGCAGGATTAGGCTATTGAGATGGACGATCAGTCATGACCATGAAGAATGGCGCAGCAGGCTCGAAGGGCCGAGTGGCCTCCTCCTGCTCCAATCTTCTACGTTTCTACGTTTCTATGCCTATTTTACTTACAAAGGCGTAGGAAAACTCCATCATGAATGCAGAAGATGGAAAAGACTATAAAATGCAGGTAGTCACCATTTTGATCTTTAAAAAAGGTACTAACATCAGAAAATGGCAGGAAAGCCCGGTGTAAGGTACAGGGATTAAAGAGAAAGAGATTTCAAAAGCTTGACAGCAATAAATTATAGCTATAATTTAAATTCTACTTTAATTTAAAAGCTTATTGCAGAATTCAATTCAATATTGCGGAAACACACGGATGAATCTTATTTTTTTAGCTAAATGCTGTTTGAGACAAGCTTTTCAGAGGGATTTTTTTTGCCATTGAACTGAGCAGGTTTCTGCACTTTTTCTTACTAAATTCACTTCATTCGATACCTACGCTGCCTCTTGGCGTTCCTCACATCCAATTCCAGCCCTATTTTGCCACACGCTGTTCCCAGAACAACTTGCTAGAGCCAGGATATCCTGGAATTAACCGGCACTATGTGCACAGGCAGCACATTTAAGAGCCACTTGTGTGCTTGGAAAAGTGCTGTCATTTGGAGCTGCCCTGCATTACTTCTAACATTTCCCCCTGGACATGGTGGATGGGCATTTTCAGATCATAAGAGAAAGCTTTCAGTTGTTTGAATTCTAATTGCCAGAATCAGGGCATCAATCATTTACAAATGGACTATTTTAACTTAAAGGCTATTATCTGAATCTGACTGTAAAACTGAACTTGGAAAGGGTGAATTCCCATTTTGAACCAAATATCCAGCAGTGTCCTTATTTTCCTCAGCTGAAGGGTTGTGCTTGGGGATGGAGCTTGAGTGTACAGAGGCAGGCACTCCTCTTCCCACAGGACCAGCAGTAAATGTGCTAACACAGGATTGTGCCAGCCTGGCCTAGGTTGCCAGCTGGGTTAAAGCAGTCTCAGCTGTCTGGAGGAATGCCTGGCATTGTAAGAAGAGAAGCAATGACTTTCTCCAGTCTGCCAGTGTAAATGCTAGCAACCTTCTCTCTGATTACTCACACTCGCTCTGTCTCTGCTTTTGCAACCACATTCTACTAAAGCTCGCTCTACCACAGTCGCTGCTGCCTGCAACATCTTCCCCCACTTGGTCTCACCCACCCCAGACCCCCACCACCACACCCACATGCCCTCTACACTGCCTCACTCACTCAGGATACTCCCTCTGTGCCACCCATGTTCATCTCCATAAGTACCTGCCTCTCTCTCCTTTCAGGGGTGAACAGCCCAAGGTAGGACAAGTAGTGTCCAGATGGGTGATGGACTGCCCGACATTCGGCACCTTACCCCTTATGTGGAGAGCAGCCTGACTCTGACTGCCTTGAGTGGCTGACTGACTATGTCCAGCAAGGCAAGCCAGAAGTAATATGAGCCCCAGAGATAATAAGAACTGCAGATGCTGGCGTCAGAGGTAACACAGTGCGGAGCTGGAGGAACACAGCAGGCCAGGCAGCATCAGAAGAGCAGGAAAGTTGACGTTTCGGTTCAAGACCCTTCTTCAAAAATATGAGCCTGCTAGCTTTGGCTGAGGGGGCAAGATACTCAAAATGCAAGGCAGGGATGCTGTGAGCATCTACATAGGCTCAGAGTGAGTGAGTGTTCTGACAGTGAGTGAAGAACCTGGAGATGTAGCCTGGCCCAGCCCAAGAACTGGGTGGGTGTCCCTGAGCACACAGTGTTCTTGCTGCAGCATTGTAATGAGAGTTGCAAGTGCAGTCTGAGGTGTGGCTTTGAAGTGCAGAAGCAGTTCATAAGTTGATCGGGTATGTAGCATGAAGGATCCTAGAGGTTGATACATATTGGATGTCAATGTCTGTGGACATGGTGTGTGTGTGGCCATTGCCCATGGAGCATTCCCTAAGATGATTTTTCCCAGGGTAACAATGCCAACAATCTGGGATTGTTTATGTAATTGACATCATGCTAAATCTAATTTTGATCCAGGTGCCAAGGTAACTATCCCATCAGAGCAGTTAGCATGGCTGAAGTCATCTTATTTCATCTCTAATTCATCTTACCACATGGCATGGGTAGACTAACTGTCAGCATGGGTATACTGCACATTACACCACAATGCAATGCGCATAACCTGCTTCAGCTTTCTCTTTTGCACTGATGTGCTGGTCTCTTCCATCATTGAGGATGGGGATATTTATGGAGCCTCTTCCCCCAGCGAGTTGTTTAATTGTCCACCACCATTCATGACAGGATGTAATGGGAATGCAGAAATTAGATCTGATCCATTGGTTGTGAAAATCCTTGGCTCTGTTTATCACTTGCTTCCTATACTTTCTGGCATGCAAGTAGTTCTATTTTGTAGCTTCACCAGGTTAACACCTTAATTTTGGTTATGCCTGGTGCTGCTCCTGACATGCCCTCCTGCACTCTTCATTGAAACAACGTTGATTCCCTGGCTGGATGGTAATGGTAGAGTGGGGGATGTGTTGGACCATAAGGGTGCAGACTGTGAGGGAGTATGAATCTGCTGCTGCTGATGGCCCACTGTACCTCATGAATGCTCAGCTTGGAGTGGCTTGGTCTGTTCATCAATAGCACTACCTTCTCATCCAGACTCTTCAAACCCCTGCTGATTTTGAATACCTTTATTAAATCTCCTCTGAACATTCTCTTCATCAAAGACAGCTATATCAGATTCTCCAAGCTGTTGAAATAATTGAAAGGAGCTGGTTAGCTCAGTTGGTTGAATGGCTGGCTTGGAATGCCAACAGCATGGGTTCAATTCCTACACCAACTGGGATTACCATGAAAGACTCTCCTTTTCAGCCTCATCTAAGGTATGGTGACACTCAGGCTAAATTACCACCAGTCATCTCTCTCTAATGAGAGAGCAGGCCTGTGAGGTCTGGCGACTTTACCTTTACATAACTGAAGTTCATCATCCCAGAATTATCCTTGTAAACCTCCTCTGCAACGTTCCTAAAGTGTGGCTCCCAGAACGGGATATAATACTCCAGTTGAGACTTAGGCAGCATTTTTTAATAGCTAATGTTGATAACAAATGATGAGCTCGCCTGGATCAGGCTTTGAGCTGGGAATTTGCTGGAGATGACAGTGAAATATCTGATATTTCTGCTGCTAAAGATTGAAAGTGGTATGACCATGTGAAAGCGAATGGCTGCAAGAATGGACCAATGCCTTTCCAAAGGCTGTCCAGAGGTCAGTAAATAAATTAGTGGATGGCAAAACAAATACTCAGGCAGAAAACTGTCTGAGGATAAGTGATGGAGCACAACAGCAGTGACAAACATTGCTTAAACACTCTCAAAGTGAAGTGTTACTGCAGTGAAAAGCAATCATCCAAAGACTGAAACAATAAAGCTTCCTTCACTCCAACCTGTTTTTCTAATCAACCTGTTCCGAGATATTATTACACACCTCTGGGGCAGGTGGGCCTTCAAGCGCAGCTCCGAATGCTTTCAGTTAATTAAATCCAACACCTCTCCTTTTCTGTTGTGTGTTTGACATATTGGAATGAGAAAGGCTGCTGAATTACTGATTTCGATCAGCAAACTGCTAACTTCAATCACTGAAAAGGGTCTCTTAGGACCCTTTCACTGTCAGCGATCTCCTTGAAGGGAAAGAAAGAAAATAGGAATAAACTGTTTTTTTTAAAACATCATTTCAGGCCCAATGATACCATCAGCCCCCATCTCAGATGGACATGTCTTAGATTCAGTACTTTGAATCTTATGTTTTATCAGCTAAGTGTGAGTTGCATTGGGTTTTTTCAAAGGATTTCCACAAGACCAAATGGGTTTTCTGGCCGTATCTAATCAAACTCATTAACTATCTACAACGGTCCTTTGGCATCCATCACATCTAATTCCAGCCCCATATTACCACACAGCATTCCCAGAAAACCTTGCCACTCAGCAAATATCTGCTCAATGACCAATAATGCTCAATGGGGTGGCATGGTGGCTGAGTGGTTAGCATTGTTGCCTCACAGCACCAAGGACCCTAGTTCGATTCTAGCCTTGGGAAACTGTCTGAGTGGAGTTTGCTCATTCTCCCTGTG